TTCTAGCTATTTGGATCTATTGGGGGTAGAGGGGGGTGACGCGCGCTTAAAGCGGGACTACGCCGTCTCCGCTGTTGGAAAGCTTGGGGTCGTCCTTGCCGAGGGTCGCTCCGCCCGCCTGGTGGTGGACTCTTCTGTCTCTGGAGTTACCTCCAACACCGTCCTCCCCAATCGCTCCAACTCTACGCTCTCTGACATTTTTTCCTGCATGCCCCTCTCTGACTCCCTCGAACGTCTGGTCGCTCTGGTTCTTGATGTGGCTAAGGCCCACCGCCGCATCCTGATCCGCAAGCAGGACAGGGGTCTGCTCTGTTTCCGTCGCAGGAATGTCCTGTGCCAATGCACCACTCTGAATTTTGGTGCGCGTGTGTCTAGTTTCTTCTGGGCCCGCGCTGCGGGGCTGCTGGTTCGCCTGATACACCGTCTGCTCCGTGTCCGACATTCGGCGCAGATATACGTGGATGACCTTCTTAGCCTGTTGGACTCCGTGTCCGCACCGGTCTGGGCATCGCTGGTTGTCATCCTTCTCATGCTCATCCGAGCTCCGCTCTCCTGGCACAAGTGCGCTCTCAGCGCCAAAGTCGTCTGGATCGGATGGGAACTGAACCTGTCGGTCTTTACGGTGCGCCTCGACCCAGACAAATTCCAGCGCCTCTGCGCCCTTCTTCGCCAGGCTCTCTTGTCGCGTCGCTGTTCAGCTCATGTCCTGGAGCGCATTACAGGGAAGCTTCTCTGGCTCTCATCCCTGTTTCGGGAATTTCGCCCTACTCTGGCCCCGCTTTATGCCGACCAGCATGCCCTTCTACCGTCCATGACGGCCCTTGATCCGCGCCACTGGGAGACTCTACGCTCCAAGTTGTCGCCCGACCTTAGGGTTCTGGACAGCCCCCCTGGCTCTCGCATCACTCGGGTTGCACAGACACCTGCGCAGTGTCTCTCGGACCTCCCGGTGTTGGCTCCTGACACGCGTCGCATCTGGATCCAGGCCGTGTCCCCACACACGGGGATCTGCGTCCTCTCTGATGCCTCTCTGCATGTCCTCCGTCTCTGGCTGGACTTGGCGGAATCAGGGATATCGCTGCACTCACTCTTTCGCGCCCCTCGCTTTGAGTGTGCCGCTTTCGCAGACGCGTGTGCCTCGGCGTCGTCCGCCGGCCTCGGAGGCTTCGTTCGTCTCCCCTCTGGAGCTCAGCTCTTCTTTCGGAAGACTTTCTCCCGAGCAGAGCTGCTCTCCCTTTTTCCTTGGGTGGCACTCTCTGACTCTGTACAGAGCTTCATTGCATCTTGGGAGCTCTTGGCCCAGTGCGCGCTTATCCTGCTCCTGCATAGATTGCTGGGCGCCGGCCACGCGCCTGTCCACTGCGTGTTCCGATGCGACAATGCCGCATCTGACTCCGCCAGCTGGAAGGGGATTTCTCTAGCCACTGGCCTCTGTTCAGTCCTTCGCTCCTTCTTTCTGGCTCAACACCGGCACCGTATTTCAGTTTATCTGGACCACGTGCCCGGCTTGAGCCGTTCCAAGGATCCTGCCGCTTTGGGTTTCTCTGCGCAGGAATCTGTGGAGATTGACTGGGGGTCGTTTCCCGATACCCCATCATTGTCCCTGGCGCCTTCGTCTTCAGCTTTTTCTGGTTACCTGGCCCAGTTGCCGGACCTGCCCGCTTGATTTCTCTATTGGCCTTTACCACGGCTGTGGTCAAGCTGCAGCTCGATGGTTACTTTGGTTGGCGGCCATACGGGAAATCTTTCCTGCTCTGTATCCGCTTCCGGTGCCCGCCCGCCTCCGTGCTCTTCTGTACAGGCGGCACCGGACCGGACACGGACTTTTCCGGCAATGGACAAAAAGCTGCGTGAACCAGCTTTCTCTGCAGGGTACCGGACTAGTGACTAGTGACTAGTGAACGATTCCGAGCGGGGATTGGGTTTGTTTGCTAGGCTCGCAACGGAACCGCTCCCGCACCCGCAGCCGCGGATGCCCGAGCGGTGCCTGTCCGGTACCGCAAGTTTTGGACTTCCCGCCGCCATCCCCCTTCTTCCGCCCTTTCTGGGCTTTTCCCTTTGGCCTCTGCCCGCCTCCGGGACTTCTGTCTCTGGAACCGGTTGGCGGCCATACGGGAAATCTTTCCTGCTCTGTGTCCGCTTCCGGTGCCCGCCTCCGTGCTCTTCTGTACAGGCGGCACCGGACCGGACACGGACTTTTCCGGCAATGGACAAAAAGCTGCGTGCACCAGCTTTCTCTGCAGGGTACCGGACTAGTGACTAGTGAACTATATGTTTTCGACCTACCGAACGGTGCAACAAACGGTCAATAAGAGTGTGTGCTGGTGTGTGTGTGTGTGTGTGTGTTTGTGCGCGCATGCATGCATGTCTGTCAGTATTTGTGTCTGAGCATGCATGTTTCGTCAGAAGTCTGATTTGCTCGGGAGCGCTGCCAGGGACTGGAAGAAGCTTTTCAGCGCTTGCGAACCGGTAAGGACTGCTACGGCACACCGCGTGATCCATGGCCTGCTGCGTTCACCTGCGGATTTTACGGTCACGCAGTGACAGGAGCTTCCTCCTTTGCTTGTTCCGGTGAACAGGTTCCGCAACAGTTTCGAGTGTGTCCAGCTAAGCATCTGGGCTGCCAGGGGTAAGGATGATGTCCGCTTTGAGGCCAGGCGGAAGCACAGAAGTGCTTCTGCGATGATCTGCTATGTGTTGTGTTTGTTTATTGTGTCTGACGAACATTTGTGATGGGAAGATGGTTGAGGCTCTTCCGCCTGAGAATGCTGACGAAGATTCAAGAGCATGCCTGAGCTGTTTGCGCTCAAGGAGGGTGTACGGAGCCAGCCATCGCAGTTGCAAGCTTGATTAAGGTGCAATTTCATCAATGCTCTTTGGAAAAACGTCCAAACGTCAACCTGTGGTTTAGCGCTCAGAACATTTCAGCACGGATCTGCGTACGGGTGAGCAAATCGCATGCGCCCACGCGGCATTCCATTGTTCCGGTACTCACTGCCTGCGACCAGTCTGCGACATCGCGTTCAACCGGCCTCGTCATCTCAGGATGGCAACTTACGCGCATCAGACAGCAAGGTTGATGCTTCTTCAGTTGAACAGGCATCTCCTTCCTTTGTTCGGTGATTTACGTAGCGTTCCAAGTAACAGATGACAAATGTCCGGAAGAGTTCGACAGGGCGATCACACCGCACAATCAGGCGCAGCGATGTTTTCCTGCGCTGTTGTGTTGGGACTGTGCTGGGGGAAAGCGCTCAGGCGACGAGCTGCAGTTCACTGCGATTCAGGAAGCTGTTGAAAGAAGTGGATCTCAAAGGGAAGCAGTACAAGTGTGGCGCGGGTGTCTCGTCCCAGCATTGGTTTGACTGAGCACGACAGAGTTTGTGGAAGTCGGCTTCAGGTATCATGCCGTTGCTGGGGAAGATGAACGGCAGGAGGACTTGCAAGATTTTGCAATTCTGCAGCGGGTAAGTAAACTCGGTATGAAGACATCACCGCTCAGGACGATGAAGAGCAACTGCCGCAGCACGTGGAGCCCACAACTTATAATTTTGACAGGAGGGTGCAATTGCTGCTGGCAGGGAGGCAGTGCGCACGAACACAGGTGCCTGACCTTTGTGGTTCATGGCATTGGGCAGTACCATCGTGCACAACAAGGTGCAAATTCTCAGTTCTTCAAGGCGGACCTTTTTCGGATTTTGCTGTGCCTCCCGCTCCCCTTCTGCGTCGCAGGAAGTGGCACGGGTGCGCAAGCTTGCAGCGAAGTACCAGGTCGAAAGAGCCAAAGAACAGGCGTGCCTTGCAGAATTTGATGCTTTTCAAGATTCTCAGGGCAAGGTCCACCTGCCCCGCATGTGCAGGCTCGCCAGGGGCGCATCGAATTCCTTCCGTTGGAATGGTTTCTTGGATCTTATCCGAGCTTGGTTGTCTCGAAGACCTTTCCACTGTCCCGCAGGTATGGTCCCATACATGTCGAGGTTGGAATAGGCAACCTGACATTTGATGGATTGCAAGGTCAGAGTCAAACCTTCACTGCAAGCCGCGAGGCAACAGGCTGAAGAATGTCACTCTAAAGTCGGCAGGAGGCTCAGATGTTATGGCCATGACGGTTTCAAAAAGAGTCAGGATTATCTGCCCAGGTGAGCCACCTTCGCGACTTTGCTAACTTCGCCTTGGCGGATGTGATGGTGTATTTGGACCGGAGAACTTTCAGATTCAGAAGACAAGTTCTGGAAGTCTCTCCGGTCGAGGATGAGCAGTGGCGCGAGCGCATCCATGATGAGCTGCTGAAGAAGATGGCTAGGCCCTAGGCAGTTGTTGGCCGTTCTGTTGCATCGTTGGGACTGATGAGCCGATGAGTGTTTTTGCTAAGGGTCAGCTCTGGAAGCTTTTTTCTGCCCGGACTCCAAACTATTCCGGAGAGGCTGCCGTCCGTTCAAAGTACTTTGAATTGCAAGTTTCGCAATGCATCACGAGTTCTGAGCATTTGACGTCACATCTTGGTGCTGAAACTCGAAGCTGTACAGTCCACGAACTGCCTTGCCTTGCTTCTGGGCCAAATCAAACTCCACCTGCCCACTGCTTCAATCCTTCCGGGTGTTGTCTTCTTGCCTCCCATCCTCGAGGAATCAACAGAGGATGCTCGGATGAGTGCGCCATGCAAGACCTGCTCAGAGGGTGAGTGGCTGGGGGACTTCCAAGTGGGAGGGAAGGATCAAGCTCCTGATGTGACGGGCGGTGCACACTCGAAACGAAGGGCGTAGACATCGAACGTTCGGACCCTCCCGACGGGCGGAATGGTTCAGCCCCTGCCCAAGCAACCAGTGGAACCTGGATTTTAGATGCATTCCCACTCCACTGAGTGAGCTTTCGTTCCGTGTTGTTGGAACCTTCGGCACTTATTGTATCACCACATCATGTTGTGCTCCAGGAATCGCAGTTCAAATGTTTGCAGCTGCGTTGCGAATCAGTGTGATTGAGCAAGTAAATGTGTGTGTGTGTGTGTGTGCGTGTGCGTGTGTGTGTGTGTGAATCGAGGAACCGGCTTGCTGTTGAGTTGATGCTGTATGAATTACGGCATCCGATAGATATTTCATTCGTTGGATCTGACAGATTGTTCTTCCGCCGATGTGGAAGTCTCCGAATCGTTTGCAGGTCGCTGTCATTGGTCACTCTCTGGGCTCGGTCATCATGTTTGACCTCATCCAGAAGGTTCGCCTGGATCGCTGCAAACCAGCACAGTCTCAAAACGTTGAGAGGGTACAATAAATATCTTCGTACTTGCTGACGTTTCCGTATTGGCAATCCGGGGTGCATACGCGGTATGATTCATCAAATCACTCTGCTGCCATTTCGGGTCTGGCTGTATTGTGTCAAATACGAAGCGAATAAAGCTTGAGTTGTTTGTTTGCCTGCAAGTGAAACCGCTGATTCCGAGCACCTGCCTGCGGGACCCGTGAGGGACTTACGAGAGGTAACTCTACAGTCTTGTTTTTTCGCTTTGAACGCTTTTGCCACACGAGATTTCGTTTCTCCAGCCATCAGCTCGCAACTTCGGTCGGTTTCGAGGCTCCCATTCCTTTTTGCTTGCTTATTCTTTCGCTGATACATTCCTCTGGTACCCGCAGGTGCATTTGGCCTGGAGCGTCAGACCCCGCCCGTTCTTCTTGAGTCCTGTATGCCCGCAGTTGGAGCATGCAGCAAGAAAAGAAGCGTCTACTTGGAGTCGGAGCCAAAAGGTACTTTAGAGTGTTCCGTGCAAAACAAGAGATCTTCACCATTTTGAAAACCCCAAGCTATCGGACGCCCAAGGTAAGGGTCGCAATTTTGCTGTATTTAGGAGTCAAGTTTATTATGGTGCACAGTTTCGAAAAAACTGGAAGAAAATTACGACCGAAACCTTCAGATGGACCTGCCTAAACATTCCCCACCGTAGAGTGTGTTAGGATTCAATACACGTAACGAGAAACCAGTCGAGTTTCGCGACCGAAGGTCCGTAAATTTTGCAAAATGTTGCACAGTCGTCTGCCGACATGGCACGCGGAAAGGTGTCGAAGAGCCAAAAACACAACAAACACACCCAAAGCAACCGCTTTCATCCCCACTGGGCCTCGCCGGCGGCTGCTACTTCGCTCGCACACCAGAAACCAAAGCTCCAATGCCGGTCTGCAACGAATTGCATCGAATCTTTGATTTCGCGCAGGCTCACAAGCATACGCACCCACATTCGGGCAGCACTATCTTCTTCACAAAGACGCGCCAAGCAAGTCCAGCAAGCTACAAGCGCCGCTTTTTTGGCACACAGGCACGCCTGCGGTTTGCAATTTGTCACCGCCTCACCAGTCGCCCACACCACTTTGAGCCCAAGGGTTGGCGCATGCCTGTCCAAGGATTTCAGGTTCGGTGCTGAAGGAGGCTGTGCTTCGAAGTGTTGATCGCATGCATTGGCCTGTACAGATGCAGCGGCCGGAAACCGTCGCACAATTAACTGACAACGCCGCCAAGTGATACCAAGACCTCGACCTTGAAAACGGTGTTGTGAGAGGATTACATAGTGCATTACATGGGATGCTGAAGACTTTCCGAATGGAAAGAAGCTATCGTGAAATATACGCATGCAGAGGTGCATGCGAACGCGCGAGCCCAGCGAGCTGTAGGTCCATACCGCTTCTAGATTTCGTGTACTCTGTGTAATTTCCGAGACAATGGTGCAAAGCAAGCTTGCGAAAATGCATAAACACGGTTTGCAGCAAAAACGACACCGGTTTGGATAACGCCATTGCACGGCCCATCCCTCATTCATCTTGATTCGTTCGTAGTCGGTTCAGATTTATTGCACATGTTTAAACGAGCAGCCGTCTCGAAAACATACCTTCCATTTCTTTCCACCACGCCACCTTGACCACTGCTTTCAGCAAATTTGGTTTGCGTGCCAGTCTTTCAGTGGAATTTGCTGTGCTTCCACGACCGACATTCATCGGAAGAAGCTTTTCCGACCTTGGGGAACCAAACCAAGGCAGGGATGGCCGTCCCATCCCCCTTATCTGTTTATCAGGGTGCGTGCCAAAAGGACATAAGAAGATCTCACGTCCCATTCTTGCGGCCCCTGTGCAGCCGGAATGTGGCAGCGGCAATTGTGCTGGTGGCAGTAGTAGTAGTAGTAGTAGTAGTAGTAGTAGTCGTGGTGGTGGTGGTGGTGGTGGTGGTAGTAGTTGTAGCAG